TACAAAAAGTATGGGTCTGTTCGACTATTTAACTTTTTTCTTATTGCTTCGTTTTTCTTTTCCGGCTTAATTACGCTGATTGATGGAAATGCCGTAAAGTTTGACAAGGGAGGAATTAACTGGGCGCCGAATGAGTAATAGATATTTGCGGCTTTTTGTTTATCAAGTTGAAATCACCTAAACTCTAATCTTAGCGTGTGGACCAGGGATTGACCAATCAGTTCCATTTTATTTGGGTTTTTTCTGTGTTCCAATTTATGTCATGGATTTTAAGAAAAAAATAATATTTTTTGAATTTGTAGTCCGAAACAAATCAAAAAAAGATTTAAAGTATCTGCGTGGTTATAAAAGGTTCTCATTAAGGGTAAAATTGGAAGTTTAAGCTAAATTATTTCTAAATTTAGAAAGAAGTCATTCTTTTTGGAACGAGCCAAAAAAGAAATAGGTTCACATAAATTGGAACGGAGAAAACACTGTTTTACCAAAGTTAGTTTGGGATGATATATACATGGGATCTGGAATTTGAGGTTTAAAATGCCTAAATATTGGATGCCTGCAATAATTGAATGCCAGTTTTGCGAATGTTATATTTACTAGTAACTTGTGTTGATATGTGATGAATTAAGCTGCGGAATCCGTCCAAGTTTTAATGGGTTTGGGCAAGAGTGATTTTGGTGATGGGTTGATTTGGGTAACAGCCCAAATAGACCCATGTATCAACCCAAACTTGACCCCTGAAATGTATAATTTTAATTTGGAGAGAAAATCAACCAGCACTATAATTGAGAAATGCAAAGAACAGGGTTAAAGCTTGTGTTTATATTCTTTTTTGTTGTTTATCAACTAGAAATCTGTCTTTTTACATGCATAAGTTGTTCTTTTTACTATTACTAATGGTTATTAGTAATTAAAAGTTATTTCTGATAGATTTAATTTATTTTTTATGATCACAAATTACTGAACATCGGTTCTAAATAAATTAACTAATGCATACCTCATTCATATAATAAATGAAACACCATAGTCCATATTTTTGATAGTTTCTATTTTGGGATTGTTACACAAATAGCCGATCGGATTCATTGTTTACTTTTTCTAGTCGGTATAAATAGATTATACATTGATTATACACAACTATACATATATTATATATGAATTTTACATATATCATACATATGTCGGCTATTTTTAGTTTAAGAAATTTGGTGGGTGACTAGTTGGGTTAATTCTTCTTCTATTTTAATATTTAAGAATTATAATTTTATCATTTCTATACTATGTTAGCATAATATCTTACCAGAGTTATTTTTTGTTTAATTAAATATATATGAATGACTAGAAAAATATCTGGTAAGAGGTGAGACTCGAAAATGATCAAAAGTGGATTTAGGATTTTAATTCTTTAACTAGAGGTAACTATTCTTTCATCTTTAATTAGAGGTTTCGGGTTCGAACGGTTGTTAATGGAGTTGACTTTGTTAGGGACAGTGGCGGAGCCACCTTACATGACCCCTTTGCGAAAAAAATATATTGTGTAGGTAGGTAAAAAATAATATATGTATATATACTATGTATTGACTCCCCTTAATTTTTTGGTATGTTTACTTTTATATATTTTGACACCCCTTAAAGAAAATTCTGACTCCGCCACTAGTTAGGGAGCACTTTACCCCAATATGAGACTTTCCGACGCGAATCCGGCCGATTTAGTCGGGCCCCAATGCCAGCACGGGACACCGGATCGGAAGCAAAAAAAAAAAAAAAAAAAGGGGGCGAAAGAAAAGAGGAAAAGTCAACCATTCATGGACGGTCAACCCTAATCGTGGTAGTACGTGTTTTGCCCAGTTGAAAATAGATGACTGTCTGTTTGTATTTTTGCAAGTCGACATCGTCAATAAAAGCCGAATTCCATGACTTGTAAATTCATTCCTTTCACATTCCGTTCTCTTTGTTCATACGATAATATACAGCATTTATATAGAGAATACAAAACTTGAAGATTTTAATTTAATGTCCAAAAGTATAAATATAAGCAAGCAAAAGCACACGCCATATATTCACTGCGTTTTCTAGTAAAGCTAGCTTCTGATCATGCACGTTTACATTGCTAAAATGGAGAAGCTCATCAGATCACCAGCATCAAACGTTGGAAGTGTCAAAAGGTGAGTTCGAACTATATCTTCTCTTCTTCTCTAATACAAAAACAGAAGACCTGATATTTTAAGGATATATAAATATTAAATTTTATGCACTAATTAAAAAAAGGTACAAAATATTTACACAATCAAATTCCATAATATAATTAACAATATATCTCTATGATAAGTATTAGCTTGTAACTTCGTAAAAATAAAAAATAATACGCTATCACAAGCTTTAATGCATCTGGTTTAGGCAATAATGAAGTTCAAATGTACCATCCAATTGCACTATTAAGCAAAGTATTAACTTTAAGTGTTTCACACTTGCACAAAAGTTTTTAACTTTCCCCCTCCTCCTCTTTCTTAGAATTCAACATTTATGATATGTTTTGCATCTTGTTCGCCCACTCTTCATTCAGGACGATTCGAACCAGGGGAGGATCTTCCACCTTGTGAACTTAAACACACTTTAGTCAAATTGTGACTTTGAACTGTCTTACACTGATAATAGAAATAAATAACTTACTTGTTAACTGTTGATGCATACTAAATACGTACTTCAACAACAACAACAAACCCAGTGGAATTCCACAAGTGGGGTCTGGGGAGGGTAGAATATATGCAGACCTTACACCTGCCTTTAAAAGGCAGAGAGGTTGTTTCTGGTATACCCTCGGCTCAGGGAGAAATAAGGGAAGGGAAAACAACAAGCAAACCAATCTGACGACCAAAGCGAAAATACAAAAGTAACACTAAGTAATGCAAATAGAAAACCGAAACAAGGCAGCAATAAGCAATAACAACAATCTAGGGATCATATAAAGAAGAACCCGAAGGACACTAAGAGATGTATCAAAGTTACTGTGACAAACAAGGATAACACTCGGCTACCTAACCCTCTACCTTTATTCTCAACCTCTACACCTTCTTATCTATGGTCATGTCCTCAGTCAGTTAGAGCAACGCCATATCTCACCTAATCACCCCACCCTCATACTTTTTCGGCCTGCCTCTACCTCTCTGTTGGCCCTCCAACACCAGCCTCTCATACTTCCTCACCGTAGCATCAGTGCCTCTCCTCTTAACATACCCGAACCATCTAAGTCTCGCCTCCCACATCTTATCCTCCACAGGGACCACGCCAACCTTGTCTCGTATAACTTTATTTCTAATTATATCCAAATTGCTATGCCCGCACATCCATCTCAACATCCTCATATCAGTCACATTCATCTTCTGTACATGAAAGTTCTTTATTGGTCAACACTCTGCCCCATATAGCATAGTCGGTCTGACCACCGCTCTATAGAACTTACCTTAAGTTTTGGCGGCACATTCTTATCACACAGAACACCAGAAGCAAGCCTCAATTTCATCCATCCCGCCCCAATACGATGTGTGACATCCTCGTCGATATCCCAATTTCCTTATATAACAGACCCAAGGTACTTGAAACTTTTTCTCCAAGGAATGATTTGTGAATCAAGTTGCACGTCTTCGTCCACAACCTGAGCCGCGCTACTGAACTTGCACTCCAAGTATTCTATTTTCGTCCTGCTCAACTTAAAACCTTTAGACTCTAGGGTCTTCCTACAAATCTCTAACCCCTCGTTAACACTACCTCGCGTCTCGTCAATCAGTGCAATTTCATCTGCAAATAAAATGCACCATGGTACCTCCCCTTGAATGTGACGCGTCAGCGCGTCGATTTCCAGGGCAAACAGAAATGGGCCAAGGGCTGATGACCCTTGATGCAACCCCATCACAACCGGAAAGTGTTCGGAGTCTCCTCTCAGTATCCTCACCCGAGTCTTAGCTCCATTATACATATCTTGAATAGCCCTAATGTATGCAATAGGGACGCCGCTAACCTCCAAACATCTCCAGAACACCTCCCTCGACAATTTATCGTAAGCCTTATGTAAGTCGATGAACACCATATGTAAATCTTTCTTTCTCTCCCTATATTGCTCCATTAATATTGTAACAAGGTGAATGACTTCTGTAGTTGAATACCCCGGCATAAATCCGAATTGGTTCTCTGAGATAGACTCGCTCTTCCTCACCCTTCGCTCCACCACACTCTCCCATACTTTTATAGTATGACTCAGTAGCTTGATACCCCAATAGTTGTTGCAATTTTGGATATCACCCTTGTTCTTATATAATGGGATCACCGTACTCTATCTCCACTTCTCATGGAATTCTTCATCCTAAAAATGACATTAAATAACCCAGTTAGCCATTCCAAGCCTGCCCTACCCATGCTCTTCCAAAATTCCATCGGAATTTTTTCTGGCACGGTCGCTCTTCCCCTGCTCATCTTACGCATAACCATCTCTACCTCCTCAACTTTTATACGCCTACAATACCCAAAGTCCTGACGACTCTCGGATTGTTCTAAGTCACCCAACACAATATTCTTATCCCCCTCTTTATTCAAGAGTTTATGGAAGTAAGTTTTCTATCTCTGACGAATAAGTGCCTCGTCCAACAATATAATGTCGTCCTCATCCTTGATACGCTTCACTTGGTCCAGATCACCGGATTTCCTCTCACGCACCTTGGCTAGCCTGTACAGCTTCTTATCCCCTTCCCTGCCTCCAAGTTCTTCATACATGAGTTCAAACGCGGTAGTCTTAGCTGCAGTTACTGCTAACTTCGCTTCCTTCTTAGCCACCTTATACCTCTCCATGTTCGTCTTCTTCTCCTCCTCGTCCCTGCTCTCCAAAAGCTTCAAATATACCGCTTTCTTGGCTTTCACTTTACATTGGACCTCAGTAGTTTACCACCAATCCCCTTTGCAGCCACCAGGGGGCCCTTTGAGACCCCCAATACCTAGCTAGAAGCCTCCCTAATTCAATTCGCCGTCACGGTCCACATACCACTCGCGTCTCCACAACTCCTCCATGGCCCCATAGCCAGCAACTTATCTCCCAACTCCAGAGCTCTGTCTTTAGTCAAAGCTCCCCATTTGATCCTAGGTAGACCCTGCACAACCTTCTTTATGTGCTTCTTCATAATATTCAAATCCATGACCAGGAGCTTATGCTGGATCATGAGGCTCTCACTCGGAATGACCTTGCAGTCCGCGCACAGACCTCGATCGGATTTTCTGAAGAGTAGAAAGTCAATCTGGATCTTAGCTACCGAACTCTGGAAAGTAACCAAGTGCTCCTTCTTCTTCGGGAGACTAGAGTTAGCTATCACCAAATCAAATGCCTTTGCAAAATCCAGCAGCGAAATCCCTCCTCCATTCCTAACTCCAAAACCAAAGCCTTTATGCATGTCATAATAACCCCCAGATGCCGCCCCAATGTGACCATTGAAATTTTCTCCTATAAAAAGCTTCTCAGTATGCGGTATGCCACGCACAACCTCATCCATGCCCTTCCAGAAGCGCCTTTTAACCTCCTCGGTCAAGCCCATTTGGGGTGCGTACACACTAGTCACGTTTAAAGTATGATAATATATCATATTATTGTTTTCCTTGTTGTTATGTTATCTATAGTTTTTTATTTAGGGGTGAGAAGGGGGAAGAAGAGTTAAGCGCATTAAACCACGTGAAATTTATTTACTAATACGTACATAACTATAGTTCCTCTTCAACTGGCAACTGAATTTATTAATAGAACAATGCAGTATGCAGTGATTGCAAGACAAACGAAAAAGAACAGCCACTTGATTATTTTTTACTTTTAAAAGCCACTTTCAAAACCAAAATCTTGGAACTAAGAAAAAACTTACGCCGATTGTAACAACATCTTCAAAAAACCTTCATGTTGTCGAAAGAATTACTTTGGATCGTCCTCCAAATTATTACAACTTTCAATAGGTCCTGAGCTTGAAGAATTCCCAAAATGAGATGAAAATCTGAGAATATTTTCGTCGACTTGCTGATAATTACTTGGTTCTTGTTGTACATGAGATGCTTGTTGTACCAAAGATGTCATCGACAAAGATTCCGAAATGAAAGTACTTGACAATGGCGGATCTAACCATGAGTTTGCTGTTTCAGCCGTATTCAGTGCTTCACCGTCGAACCCTGCATAGGTGTGAAAAAAATACATAAAATCAAATATATAGTTCAGAATTCACTAATTTTAAATTTTGGACCCGCCACTAATATATACCTGATGTGTGATAAAATCTTGATGAGTCAGCATTATTATTGCCACTGCGAAGCAGCTGGGCGTAGTGATCAACATTTATAGGGTAATGTTGTAATTGAGAGAAAGGCTTGAAATTACAAGTTGGGAGAAAATTAGCAGCTGGAATTAATTGCTCTTGAGGAGTAGTAGTAAGGTAACCAAATTCAGTTTTAGCTAAAACCCTTTCGGGAAAATTGAGCTTAGCTTTGTTTCCTTTAAATCTAAGAGCAGCTTCATCATAAGCAATAGCAGCAGCCTCAGCAGTTTCAAAAGTGCCAAGCCAAACTCGAGCAGCTTTTTTTGGGTCACGGATTTCGGCTGCGTATTTTCCCCATGGTCTTTGCCTCACTCCTCTGTAGAGTCTTCTTCTTTCAATATTCCCTTCACATATATAATAAAACACGTATAACAAAAAAGATAAAAATTTGAAAGAGATGCTTAGGTTATTTCACATTTGAAAACCCATAAGTGACAAGCTTCCGCTTGAAAAAGCTAAAAAGTCTTAGCGACAAATAAATTCAGTAGCTAAACAGAGAAATATGTTGCTAATCCTATTTAGCGATGTATTAGCGATAGATTATCAAAAAATTCTATTAGCTACGAGCGACAGATTAGCGATAAAGTTCGTAGCAAATTCTAGTTTTTCTAGTTGTGATATCTTACTCCATCATATAAAAACTTTCTACAATAAGTAATTAACTCGACATTTGTATATCAAGCCTGATATAGTAATCTACAAAATAGAGTGAGAACCTGCAGCTACGTTACAAGTTACAACAAATTAAATTAATGATGGTGTAAAAACTCTTTACCGTGTTAGCGTATATACCTATCATCTTATAAATTAATTAGTCATCTTCAGGAAAAAAACCCTAATAAAATTTGGTTGATAATGAAGATCATCAACAACAAGTTGCAAATTAATATACTTTATTTTTCTGTCTTTAACAAAAAGGGGCTAAAAGAGAAGTTTGTTTCATAGTTTTGCATGACATAATAATCTGATATTCATTAAGAACTTGTTAATATATGATATACCATCAAATCTCTTTATAACAACCTCGATCGTCTGTTCTAATATTTTTGGCTGCTATAGTGAAGTGATGTTATAGAGAGCATATATATTATAACATAACATGAAAAATAGTTTCAAGGAAAGCTTGGCCATTTGTTATAGTGAAGTGCCGTTACAAATGATGATTGTTATAAAGAATTCTGACCGTATATATACCTTGTTGTGGATTGGGCTGAGGTTGGTTTTGCAGAGAGCGATGACTTAGGGTAGTTAATGGAGGAGTAGAAGTGTTGCCAATAACTTGAGAGAGGACAGCAACCATAGTAGACATGTCTTGCTGAGATCGAGCTGCTGAGTACATATTAGGAAATATCTCATCTTTTTGCTCCTTCGATTCAATGGATGAAAAGGGCCTCTTTCCATTTATTGGATCCACTTTTGCTACCTTAATTTTCTTTTTTTATGAATTTCTTCAAGAAAAGCTATGATTATATTCACACACAGTAGCTAATTAGGAGCTCTAACTTTGTAGTAATTACTACTGAAAGGAAAACACATGAAGAAGTTGAAAACAAAGAAAAGTGAAGATAAAAGAATGCGGATATATAGGAATAAGAATAAGAGAATAAAGAGGAGGAAATGCTAGGGTTTACAATTGTAGCTTTATAGACTGTGAACTACGTATCTAGAATGAGTGTAGATTTTAGAATATGTATTGGTCATACTAATTTGTCGTTACTGCTTATTTTACTATATATAATTTTATATATTATAATTTGAGGTAACGGTAAAATTGTCTTCGTATGACGTATAAGTCATAGGTTCGAGCCGTGAAAGCAACCATTAATATTTGCATTAGGGTAAGTTGTCTACCTTATATCCATTGTGATGCGGCCCTTTCGCAGACCCTGCATGAACGCATCATACCTTGTACACCGGACTGCGGTCTTTTGTATAACTTTTCATGGAAGAAATGAAAAAATTCGCGAACTACGTACAAACAATGGCAATAAATGTTTCTCATCGATAAAAACAAGGAGTTAATAAAGAAAATAAGAATTAAGAAGAAAACAAATTAACTTGTAAGACGCCTTTTAGTGAACAAAATCGTGAAATCTTTCGGGTCGAAAAACTTGCCGCTTTGTTCTTTAGTTATTATCTTTCTTTCTTTTGCTTCATTTTCCTACTAATTCTATATTGAATATGCTTCATCTATCATCCTCCTCTTTATACAAGAAGATAAAATTGCATCCTTTTTCCCGGAAAAAACAAAAGAAAAGGAAAGAGAGATAAAGAAATAATTTCTTTAAAGAGTTGCTTGCATATTTCATGCCACAAGTGTCTTCCTTTCTCCTTAACTATTGTGCAAAGGAGAAGAATAAGTAAAAGAGAAATTCCTAAATGACATGACAAATAATATTGTTCACTTATTGTTGAAATCACAATGTAAATTCTTAATTCACTCGTTATGTAGTTGGTACATATATCCCGTGTTTTAAAAGGCGTGGGCGTAAGGCGGGGCGTTTTACATATGGCTCAGGCGTAAGCCCCATAGGTATTTAATTTTTAATATTTTATAAAATAATATAATGACAGTTAATATTTATAAACAGGTAAAATTGAATAAAAATTGAAGAAAACTATATATATGTGTGTTCCATCCCCACAAAAAACTAATCAAAACAATCTATTATACGTTACTTACAAGCACAAGTAATTTGAGTCTAAAAGAATAAAGTTTTCTATATGGAGGAACAAAAAGGATGATTAACCTGCAATTTGAACTTTGAATTTGCTGCTATAAAGAAAAATGTAGTTCTCTTTGTATTTGTAAAAAAAAATAAATATTCGTTGCTTTTGGGAGATATTAGCGAACTAGCGGACAAGATAAAAAATTGAAAAAACCATGAATTAGGGCTTAAATCAATAAAAAAGGTCTTTACTTTTAAATTTAATACTTTTGAATTCTTTTTTAAACCTTTTGCGTAATTACCAAACTGACTTTTGAGAATTTGGGTATTATATGAAAGACTAATTCAACAAATTTTGTTTTAATTTGAAAAAGTCTCTGGGGCTTACTCCTTACTAAAAAACGCGTCCCGAACGCCCGGGCGTACGCCCCAAATTGCAGGGCGTATGCCTCTTGAGACTTTCGCCCCACACCATCGCCCCGGGGCATTTTTGGTACGCCTCGCCCCGGGGCTCGCCCAAAAACGCTTTTTTAAAACAGAGCATATATCTCATTCTCCAAATAATAACAATGCCTCAATTACACACAAGTTGAGGTAGTATGAATCATTGTTGATCATATATTTCATTTGAATTTATATCTCAGGCAAACATTATATATATAAAAATAAAACTAAAAATAGAAAGTATTAGAAATTTTTTACATTTTCTATTGACATAAAAAATTATATAGGATCTAAAGACTCCTAGATTGTCAAAGTAATATAATAACCTATAAATTTTTTATGATTGTTTAGAAATTCATTCGTTAGATGTTCATCCTCATGATACTTCAAATATGCCTACCAGAAAAACACATTTTCTCCTTGAGTTTTGGGCNTTGACTACAATAGTGAAGCAGTGATAGCTCTATTATTGATGCTGCAGCAGCAGGTCAAGTCAATACTTGTTCTAACAAATCATACGGGAAAATAAGATAGTGAAAGAAATAATAAAAGGTGGAGGACTTGGTCAGTAGACATAAATACCTCATCTTATAGATTTTTTTGTTATTGTCACCATCAACCCTGGAGGAACTGAACTTCATATCCACTCCTTTTTTTTTATTCTCTTCTTTTATTTGAAATAAATTTGAAAACGAAACTCTTACTCAAATAATTACCACCCAAAAAAAAAAAATCTTACTTAAACATACGTCCATGCATGTATTGTCGCTTATCTTATTAAATTTTGTAAATCTGTTGCCCAATAATTTTTTCTTTATGGAAAAATTTAACATAGAGATAAGCATGATAAGACAATATAACTTCCCATTTTTTTCTTCAAATTTTCCGAGCTTTTATATATACCCGGATATACTTAACCCCACTGGGAATTTTTTGGTGTGTGTACGCACGCGCCTATGCTTATGTGTGTTAAGGCAGGTGAAGGAGGAGAACCTGAAATTGCTGTATAGAAAAACAAGTTGCTATCTAGTATCTCTTGTTCAAATAAAACCACATTTGGTGGTTAAAGTTTTAACATGAGAACCTTATTAACAAGTTCATGGATAACATTTAAAAGGGAATAAAAAGAAATAAAAAGTTGAAGGTTGAAGTGACATGATTACATGGTTCAACAATTTTACTTTGAATTTGAGAATAAGACAAGCTAAAATAGAACGTTGATTGTGTCAAAGAAAAGACTAGTATAGCTTGGAATAACATATAGTCAAACGGAAGAAATAATTTTACTCATATATATCAAACTGACGTTGCTTCTTCGGTCCGATCAAGGAATCCCTTATATATGATGCAAAACGCTCTGATTCTATCATTTTTCAATGACAATTTTTGTCGTCTCAATAATCCAAATGGTTGAAAATGACACAAATATAGAAGCACTCTATTCAAGCAAGCACTTTTACGATCTAACCCCAGCATTTTCCAGTGGCTAGCTCCTTAAACAAAAGAGCAGCTGGTATACCAAACAACCCGCGTTCATACAGGGTCCGGAGGAAAGACTGCACCTTTAAGGGCTAACTCCTTAAATGCCCTAGCTCCTTAAATATTTGGGATTAAATAGCAAAATAATGTGTGGATACTCACAAAATGAAGTAATTGCAGAGTCCTCTCATCCTAACGAGATTGAATTTACTCGATCAGTACAATAGTGAACTTCCATATGAAAATTTTACCGACAAAATCAACAAAAACATGATTATAAAGAAACGTAATAAATTATACAAGCTTCTGGGCAATATGAAAAAAAAAAGACGTAATCAGACACCCTAAAGTAAAACTATTGGCAACGTGGGAAAAAAGCTCGAAAATGGCAATTATAACGGAGCAATGCACGAATCAATATTTGTATGTACAATTCTTGTATGATCATAAAGTTGGCTGGATCCTTTTGAGCCGCATGTATTCCAAAAACTGGGAAGGTAATTCAGCTAAAAGTGATTGAAGGACCGAGGCATCTCCACCTGCAAATGAATGCAAAGGAATCAGGTCACATACAGCGAAAGCCTACTCACACGAGTATCATTTTTGGAAGAGGACGTTTGATTTATCCTCTTCAATAAGAAAGAGCTCGTTGTTAAGCGACAATGACCTACTTTGTACATCCCGGAATGGAACAAATTGGACTATGTCACGCACTGCAACATGTCCACGTGTTGATTCAAGCCTCTCTTTATCAGCATCTAAAATCTGTGAACATACAATATGGGACCATTAGTCGATTTAATACCATGATATGCTACAGGTGGAGAAAGAGTAAATACACACCTCCATTTCCTTGTAATCAGCTCCTCCAACCCCAACAATAAGAATTGACAATGGCAAATCCGCAGCATGAACAAGGGCATCCATTGTTTCTTGCAGATCTGTTATCACTCCATCCTGGAATTTGTGTAATAATATAATTCAGCATCGAAATAAACATATGAAATTCTGTCACAAATGTCCATGATAAAATTCAGCCTCGACAAAAATCAGATTGAAGAGCTTCACTCTTAAGTGAAATTCAAGTTTAAGGTTTTCCACACCATTGTAATGCATTTCAGTGAAATTTTTCCGTGTAAATACATATATATGTCTAGATACCAGTACCATTTGCCTAGCTTAACTTAGCAAGGCTTGATGGTAAATCAGGTTAATTGCTACCAAGCAAAGTTCATACTTCAGATGTTTGAGAAGAGATCAGTTGGCTAGAACTCTAATCAGTGAAAGCCAACAAGATAGCACATAATGGTTAACATTTAACTTTATCTAAAAACCACGATCATCAGGAAATAAGATGAGAATACAGTGGTCATCCGAATTGAAAAAGAGAGAGTTTACGCTTGCAAACTGAGATGTACCGTGATTATTAACAAAATGAAATACTTCCGCTCGCCCTTCATCAAAGACTTATTTGCTATATCTGCAGCTGACGTAATCACTGGTCCGAATATAGTTGGTCCTGCAAGCGAAACATTAAAAAGGGCACTCATGTATGCCGTCATGATACCCTGGATTCCTTGCACCTAGAATAAAAAAATACTGATTAATAAAATGTGATGAAATAAACAGAAATAAGGGAATTCACAACATTAAGATATAACAAATTTGGCACATGTAATGATCTTCTGCGTACCTCACAGTAGTCACTGCTGCCATTTAGATTGAAGCAATGAGACACAGGGCCATCAATTGGCCGTGCTCCGAACCCCCAGGCAGGATAATGTTGGTCTTTATCGTAAAAATGCAAGACCTCTCCAACTTCCAAGATTGCCTGAAATTTGAGTTCTGATTCAATGAAGCCAATCATATGAAGGATAAATATAAGATCATTATGCACATGACCATTTTCTCACTTTCTGATAAGCATTTGGCCGTCCTGAAGGATCGATATAATGCAATGAATCAGGTAAGCGTGGATTCCCATTAGAAGCTGACAAACACAACTCATGTGAGAAACAAATGCATGCTGAGATGCCAAACAAAAATAGCCGAGAGAAACAAATAAATATAAGCCGATTAACGGAATTGACATAATAGATGCATATCATTTGTAGGTGGCAATCAAACTTTGTCATACTATTATATCTAATCGAAGCAGTTCTAACTGTAATGACACTAAAGCTTGCTTATGAAGGCGGAGTTAAAATGTAACAAATTAGCTAAACTCAAGGAGATATTGTACAGTCATACATACAATCACAGTCTACAGAATTGTGAGCATTCCAAGGGTAGAAATTTCAAATCTGGTATAAGGTAGCAGGACCCGGGAGAAGAGTTGAGGTGCGTGCAAGCTGGCTAGGACACCACTGTCATTAAGAAAAAAGAATAGGAACTTCAAACCCGTAAGGTGGCTCAATCTAGACACCCCCCCCCCCCCCCCCTGATACCAAAAATAAAGACGGGGTCAGAGATCCTTCATGATAATCATCACATTGGTGAAGGCAAAACAATATCGCCATGCATAGCTACAGAAACATAACTCTTGCTCAAACCTGATACCGTGAAGGAGAAAGAGTTAAAATCATATGCATAGGTACACCAACACATACCAGTAAAGTCGATGGCCACCATGAAGTTAAGTTCATAGCCGCATGCCAAGTAATCGAGGAATGTATGCTGGGTTTTCTCGAAGAAGATATCCACAAAAAGCTGACTCTTTAGGACCTGGCAAAATCAGTGATCTCGATGACCAAATGCAAAAAGTTTAAAGCAGAAGTATCATTTCCTGCACTACTTGGACATTTTACTTTTGACTAAGATGTTTTTTAGTAGAATATTTTGTTGAACAAGATTCGGTATGTCCAATCTTCATGGTTCATTTGAGGAGATATGGTTATGTATGCCCTTCCGTAATGTATTTACGTTTTGGATGCAAATGTATGACATAGGGATCAAGGCCTAACACACCACCACTCGGGTGGCCTTTCAGATAATAAAAAAGTATATTTTCCTGACAATAGATATTTTTACCTTGTTTTGCGAATTTGGTCCCACAGTAGCTGGTATGAAAAGATTTGCGGACGAACCAGTCGAGTGCAACATTTCTAAATCTGCTAGTGATTTCTGAACCTTTCTGACAATTGGCATAGGAGAAAGACTGTCAGCTTCCAGTCTGTAAAGGTCAGAAATGATGGAAAGACGAACGAAAGATCATTTACCCAATTAAATCGTGCTTTCCGTTTGTATTGAAATCATAACACTCAATAGTCAGTGGACTGTCCTGCATTTGTTCAAATGTTATGGATATCATAATCCAGTTTTCAAGCATACTTGGAAGAATGACAATTGTACAGGCCCTCAATTTTAAAGCTAGACAGGATTACTATTAGACAAGAAAAGGTTGGTTGTACTCCACATAATCCCATCACCATAAATATGCTAATAGAATCAGAAAATACAACAACATAAAAAAAACCAGTATTATCCACAAGTGGAGTTTGGGGAGGGTAGTGTGTACACAGACCTTACCCCTACCTTCGGAAAGGTAGAGAGGCTGTATCCAATAGACCCCTGGCTCAAGAAAAGAAGAAAAGGGAAGCAGTAGCAAATAGAATCAGAAATCCCATGTTAAATTAAAGAGCAAATACATGGAAATTATTCTTAGTGAAAGCACATGATCTGCCTAAATTTAGTACTACAAATTGCATGGGCATCCCTCAACTCATCGGTGTGTAAATGATAACTAGCTACACTTAAAAGCCGAGTTATCTACCATGAGTTAGCAATCCAAAGAAAATATGGCTAAAGACTACATCAAAAGTATTTCTTTTTCACAAATTTCAAAATTCATACAGAAAATTCTAGCAATTTCACACTTGCTCATACTGACATCTGATTCACATGGAATAGCACATGGTCCCAAAAAGAGGCACACTAGCTCAGAGAAAAATCTGATTCATAGGTTTTCCTGTTCCTCCCTTCCAAGGTTCTACATTTTAGGGGATGGTCTCAGAGATTTGCCAAGGAAGCACATGGAAGAACATTTCTTTTACCTTACTTCCAACTTGTTGAATATTCACTGAAACTGGTTTCCAATTTGGATTGTGATCATCTTTTATAACTTCTGTTTTGCAAATTGGAACCACCATTCCACTCTCAGTAAATTTGGATATCACCAAAAACGGATCCTGCCACAAGCAGTAAGATTTTGTATTTATATCCATTACACATTTCAAAACGACAAAAGATAAAAGTACTCTAATGAGTTCTTACACTTTTTGAAAACAAATCCTTGGACACTAATTCTGAACATCTCAGTTTCAACTCTACAGTAGTCTTTGAGGCAACACTTTCTTCAGCACAAACAGTAAGCTTCCCAGAAGTTTGGGTCTGCGCTGGACCAGAAGATTGTTCTTCTCGTATCAGGTCTAAGGTGAGGGACTTGTTCGACTTTGTAACAATCTACAAGGAAATCCAACATCATTGGATTAATATAAAAAAACTACCTTCATAAATACCACTATACTGATCCTGAAATCATTAATTGGAAAAAAGAATAGCTGTGTGCAAGAACATAAACAGGAGAAACAGATCAAACAGGTTTAAGCAGGCATCAAATGTGGTTATTATCTTGCTGATAACATTTATAAACTTGGAAAAAAATCAAGCAGAATACGTTGACCGTCACGCAAATCCACAATGTTTTTAACTGCCAACCAACACACAAGCCGATAAAAATAGGACCAGAGTAGCAACATTATTCTAACCCTGAGTAACAGATATGATAAAAATGAACTCTGAACAATATATTCTCAAGCATCCAGTGCTGGATTATGCATAACTGAGTTACACAAAGTATAGAGCCTTAAATGTGAAATACATCTTCTCTTTGCACTTCAGTTCACATCCAAATTATACCCCAATATTGATCCATGCCCTTGTCTCTTACACCATAAGTAAGAAAACTATGCTCACATTATAATTTCAAAAGCAAAATATTGTATTGGGAAGTGTTCGCACCTCAGATAATGTGCAACTAGCCTCACCAAGAAAGTGCTGCTCCTCCAGTTTAATCATCTGTAAAAGTTATGCAGATTTCGACGTATTAACCTTGAGCCATGATTATATATGTTTGTATCCTTTAATATTTTATGAAAAATTAAAATGTTTTAATCTTTTAGCATAGTCAGAAAATGATGGACCAAATAAGTGAATCGCAAGGCACATGACGTGTACTCATCAGGTAAGATATGAAAGTTATTATCCAACAGCCTGCATAGATTCCAATGTAGCAGAATGAAGAAAATGGAAGCAGAACCGGAAATGGTCAACTTTGAATGTTTATCTTACGACTGATCTACTGCAAGTCCAAGTACAACAACAACATATCCAGTATAATCCCACATAGTGGAGTCTGGGGAGGGTAGTGTGTACGCAGACCTTACCCCTACCTTGTGGAGGTAGAGAGGCTGTTTCCAATAGACCCTCGGCTCAGGAAAGCATAAGCACCACAATAATAGAAAGAAAAACAAGACGGGACAACACCGAGAAGCCATGTAAAAGCAACATAAATAACAAAATAGTAAGATGATCGAAATGCAAAAAAAAGACAGGTAGTCAAAGAAACCTAATACCAACCAAATGCAAGTGTACGTACTAATACTACCGGATCTACTGCAAGTCCAAGTGAATCAGGACAAGTTCATAGCTAATTTTAGGTTCAGCAGATACAAGGAATAACATAAAATACCATATGCAGGACTTTGAAACCAAATACTAATGGGAATCCTAGAAAAGAAGAGCACATTTAGATGTACAAGAAAATTAACGAATATTCCAAACCATAGTACCTGGGATGCTAAAAAAGTAGCAGTCTATAAGTTGAAAGATATACCTAGCAGAGTGACTGTATGAACTTGAAATTGTCTGACAAATCTTATCTAGAAGTCCTTAAAAATCTAGAGAAGTGCCCGTTTGGCCAAACTTCCAAAATCCATCATTTTCAAAAGCATTTTTTGTCAAGCGGAGTTCCGGAAAAACGTACTTTCATATCGTACCAGTTTGCGTTTGGCCAAATCATCCGAGAAGTGCTTTTGTTAGTATTATGGAAGCATTTTGTGTTAGGCTAATCTTTTCAAAGGCGCTTTTGAGCGGCAGAAAGACAGCTTCTTTCCCATGGTAGAAATACAGCTTCTATTACTTCTTCTTTCTTTTTTGATAAGGTAAATTTTATTAAGCAAACAGCACCAGGATGGTACTGCAGAACAACTTTTATTACTTCTCAAAAGCACTGATTCTTTCCAAGAGTTTGGCCTAACACCTTAATTCTCCTAATAAGAACTTTTTAAATTTAAAATATTTAAGCGTAAGACTCCTAGAAGCTTGGAGGAACAGACCAAAAGTTCAGTTCCATCCACAACAGCAGCATATCTTCACTAGAGTTTCTTGAAAGTTTGGTAACATACCCATGCTACAATGATCACGACCAATTACACCTGATGCTTTCAGTTAAATGATCTAACTACAAACTGCGGCAACACTTCAAGAATAAAAGTTCTTGAAGGAGCACTTTTGCGACATACATGCAGGCCACATAGTTGATATGTTGATATCAAAATCTAGCGCATTGGTGATAGATATTAGATGAATCACCCTAGGGAATCCATGAGAAAGAAAAAAAAACGAAATAGTATAGATACGACGTGATAGAGCAGGTATCACATTACATAGTCAAAATCAAAATTAGTAAACCAGCAGTCCCTCTAATCATCAATTTCATCATTCTCAAATCTTCTCATAATCTGCCCCACAGTTAGGTGATAATCAAATAGTTATAAATGCTTCAGAACTAAAGTTGAATTCTATATGACGGGCATAAGACTATTTGATTAATTGCCATGGGAGCAATCGGAAACTCTAAGTATCATACTCAGAAATCCTAAAAAATAACACATATATACCTTGACATCTTGATTGTGAAAATGAGTGTCAACATCATAGACACGAAACCTGAGATAAAGGGAATCTTGTAAGACAGAAAAGCGGTATCTAATTGATAAAAACCAGGATCTAAGGTGTCAAAGACTCACACCAAATTCTGCACCGTCTCAAAATGATAGGCAATAGTATACTTCGTAATCCACTTGGGATTCAATGAGTTCAGAATTACTTCAGTACGGGCAAGCTCTTGCAACGAACCATCTCTTCCTTTTGAATAAATGACAACCATAGGATCACTCTGTAAACAATACAAGATTCAGAGGAGAGCATGATGACTTGGTAAAGTCAAAAACATCTTTGCGTCAAGAAATGGACAATGATGCTAGCAAACAGAACGGATTGTAAATTAACAAGGGGACCATCCATAGAACTAAGACAATGACCATATATTAGGAAAAAAAGGGAGAGAGAGGGAGGGGAGACAACAACCAACATACAAAAGAATAGAATCCTAAAAGTTTTAGAAGAAAAATACACAAAATGTGTCCCTTAATTGTATAGTGTAATGAAATAATATACTTCTTAGTTAGGTGGACACTAGTTCGTAGAAATACGCAAATCATAAACCCCAAAGTCAGTAAGTTTCTAAAATGCCAGTTTAGAAAGGGAAGTCCATTAAAAGAAAACTTGTGATATCTGTGGTATTACGAAAGACAATAACTTTCCATCATAAAGTCTGTAGTGAGTCTGATAATGAGGGATTTTCCACTAAACCATATTTCAAAAGCTAGCCATAGAAATAGATGGAAGATATCAGATAATAGCAAGGAGCAGCATATACTATACATTCATCAATATGTATGATTGATACCACAGTTCTGAAGTGTAGTTCCATCAACCTTTCACCACACTAGTTTGTCTCTAGAAGCTAGTGCTATATGTAAAATAAGTGAATGATCTTCTAGGTGTACATCTAAGTATTAACACTGATCCTGATAATAACAACAACAACAACCCAGTATAATCCCACTAGTGGGGTCTGGGGAGGGCAGTGTGTACGCAGACCTTACCCCTACCCTGGGATAGAGAGGTTGTTTCCAATAGACCTCGGCTCCCTCCCTCCAAGAACTCCCCACCTTGCTCTTGTGATGACTCGAACTCACAACCTCTTGGTTGGAAGTGGAGGGTGCTCACCACTAGAGCAACCCACTCTTGTCTAAATATTCAGTGTATTACTCCAATTATTCAGTGTATTACAAACACTGATCCTGATAATGACTTCTCTAATGAAATGAAAAACATTCTGAGTGCAAATATTCAGTGTATTACTCCAATAATGGAAATGAAGTAACATAAATTGCAGAAAAATTGAAAACAGTAAATATCGTGAAGCAGTGTTACCATGAATCACATCACATGAAAGTCAGTGTTTGTCATTCACATTACTGAACTCTAACGAATAAGGAACAAACCTTGGAAAGCACATCGCGATCATGCAAACTGGTAGCAGATAGAGACAACTGCACGTCAATAGAATAGTTTAAACCAAAAAGTACTGAGAAAGGAAAATTTCAATATTCATAGCACAGGTTAATCATCAATGCTTAAGTTTTTTCATGGGCTAATAGCAAGAACTAGAACGGTTAAGTAGTTTGCCAACAGTGATGGAGTTGCAAAAAGATCAATAAGAAGCTCATACAATTTGGAAAAATTCAAATGATATAGATTACTTCAAAGTAACAGCATCAGTGTATGTATGTCATAAGAAACCAAAAGTTGGAGATTTTGTCATCAATCTGAAACACAGCACATACTTTATCTTCCTTCTTCAACAACAACAACATACCCAGTATAATCCCACAAGTGGGGTCTGGGGAGGGTAATGTGTACGCAAACCTTACCCCTACCTGGAGAGGTAGAGAGACTGTTTCCGATAGACCCTCGGCTCAAGATAAGGTGTTAAGGAAGAAACATAGAACAACAACCTGCTATAAAAAAACAGGACATCTCGGTGCACAAAGCATCCCGCGTTCACGCAGGGTTCGGCGAAGGGCCGATGCGGGCAGCAAGCATCAGTGGTTGATTCCACAGCTCGAATCAGTGACCTACAGGTCATACGGAGACAACATGACCGTTGCTCCAAGGCTAAACTAATGCTATAGCCGATTATATTAAACTAATGGTGCAAAAATGATGTACGCAGTCAATACATATAATTTAAATCCTTTTACAAATAGGGTACAATTCAACCAATAATTGTAGAAAAATTGCTCAAAAAGGGAAAACAACCAAAGTAAAAAACATATTATAATTCTAGAAATAATACTAAAAACAAGTTTTGCTTACTCTAAAAACTCTTTCATCAAATCTACCAGGGGAAATCTGCAGAGCATTATATCCACCATCATTAAAAGCCCAAGTTCTACATACAGTGAGTCCCATCTTAGCACCAGCTTGTAAAATTCCTCTAATTCTTGATCTTTAATATAATCCACAGCATGATCCATTAACCAATAAGAATTCCAACCATTTATATAAAAAACTTTACCATCAACAAAGAACTGAGTCCCATTTCTCTCCACAAAACTTAACTCTATTTCTTTGTTGTAACTGAACCACAATAAGTCTCCAAATGACAAATAAAGAAAAGTGACAAATAATGCTAAACCAATGACCGGATAAATTAGGCCACCATTTCTTGCGAGTTTTCTGCTCATAGATGATTTAACCATTTGCATGAAATCCAACTTGAGAAAATGCTGGGATCTCAGAGCACTGTAAAATATTATTAAGCCAACGGTAGGGCAGTAATAATTTTATGCAACTTAGCAGCCTTTAAATTTGTGTTGCGATGAATGTGCGGGCACGCTAGGTTGGATAAGATTAGGAATGAGGATATTCGGGAGAAAGTAGGTGTGGCCCTTTTGGAGGATAAGATGAGTGAAGCAAGACATAGATGGTTCGCCATGTGAGAAGGAGAAGCCTAGATGCCCCAGTGAGGAGGTGTGAACGGTTGGCGTTGGCAGGTAGGAGAAGAGGTAGAGGGCGACCTAAGAAGTATTGGGGAGAGGTGATCAGGCAGGACATGGTGCTACTTCAGCTTACCGGGGACATGGCCCTTGACAGGAAGATATGGAGGTCCAAGATTAAGGTAGAAGGGTAATAGGTCGTAGTGTGTTTTCCCGATCTGTTCCAAGTTTATTAGGGCTATCTGACTAGTACATTGTCTTCGATTCTTAGAGTGTTAGTACTAGGGTTATTTTTAGTACTATCTTCTGCTTCGGTTTTCTAGTACCATGTCATGTTACTACTTGTTGCTATTGATTTTACTATTGCTATTGCTATTGCTTTCTTCCATTTTTTTTTCCTGGTTCATACATTGGCGGTATCATTTTCCTGGCCTTGTTGATATTTACTTGTTTCCATTCTTCCTCTCGAGCCGAGGGTCTTTCGGAAACGGCATCTCTACCTCCCAGGGTAGGGGTAAGGTCTGTGTACACATTACCCTCCCTAAACCCCACTTGTGGGATTCCACTGGTTGTTGTTGTTGTAGCAGCCTTCAAATTTGTATTTGGCCTATCGTCCGCTGGACCATCTTTAGAGAATTGTGAGGATGCAAAAGATATCAAACTACCAAAATTGATTTAGCAACAGCTCGAATCCTTAAAAAACACCTCTAGCAAGAAGTCTAATCTTTTGGATTTAAATGAATAGCTATATCCATACTCGAAATAGGTGACCTTTTTAGTTTATAGAAGCATAAGTTAAATGTTTTGAGATGACTCCATTTGTAGTTCATAGCACTTTTAAGGTAATATCTACATCCTAGCTTAAGAACCAAAACTAAATAGGTCAACTTTACCTGCAGTCAAACTTAATTGATTTAAGTCCTGTTAATTAAAGCATATGTGGCGTTCATACTGTACTTTAATCACATAAATAGACGGAATACCCTTATTTAGCTGCAGCATACTATCACGCATCCTAAAGTCAACTAACATTTCCTCTTCTGACTTCTCCCTCATACAATTTTCTCTTTCTTCACTGACTGAGATATTGAAACATGGATAATGTACACTTACGTTATTTGCATTACATTCTCCGAAACCTTGTAAGACCAGTGGATGACCAAAACATGAAAATGGGCAAGACGAGGTGTAGCCATATCAAAGATCACATGCATCAGTAGGTAGGCAAACTATGGTAATATACATTGATCGATCAATATCAATCAACTACACCTCAACCAGAAACTAGTTGGAACCGGCTATACAAATCCTCTATAGGATACTGCCTAATTCAAAACTAAGGCAAACTACATGAGCAGATTTTTAATCAAGTACTCTTATGCTCTCTATTCTGTTCACACACACCCCACAACCCACCCCCGCACTCAATTACCATCTACTTGGAAATGAACAAATTACTTTCCAATCTTTGCTGTGATTTGTATCCTCTCTAACCAATATACTTCAGTTTAGTGACATAATACAGTTTGTTCTGTTGTGGACAAGCATACAATCCCTTAACATAGATATAGAACAAACTCAACTAGAAAAGTCAAAATGTTGAGGGAAACGCTAATCCAGCTGGCGGTTCAGCAATCACACAATAAGGCACTTTCTAAAATCTTCTGCCCGAAGTCAATTCCAATTCAACTTGCAAGTCCAATCTGATAAATGTCAAGAAACAGTACTATATCCTCACCAAACACGAACTCCCCATCAAGGATCTTAATCAACCACAATCATCCAACTAAACTCTAAAAATATCACAGTAAAATGTTGAGGACAGATCTAATCAGGCTGCCAGTTCAGAAAGGGAATAATAAGGTAGTTTCGAATTCTTCTCACAGTCAAAGCCAAGTCAACGATATATAAATCCGCACCATTAGTGGGGGAAAAAAAAGTAGAAACTTGTCATCTGATAATGCATAGTATAGGAAAATGTGAAAAACAGAGAGAGTGAAGAACCTCAACATGCGAGTAGAGGCCGTCGTAACCGCGAGACTTGAGGAGAGCATCAACGGCTTCATTATGACCGTTGTTTGGATTAGCCACGTAAGCACCGGTACCGCCAGCTGCCGAATGTCCACCGCTCTCGTCGGAACAGCAATTTCCCATGGCAGCTACAATTTCAAGAGAAACAAATCCAAATATCTACTGCGAGTGTACTCGCGCGCGGAAACTTCAGCTGCTAGCTTACTAGGAACAGCTTACTATATGTATGTACTAGTGTAATGGGCGTTGAATATGGAAATTTGGAATAGAGAGAGAAATGGAAGAAGGGACAGCAGAAATTGAGATGACCCACCTTTGTGGGCCACCTACTGCCGCGTTACTCCAATAATAATCAAATTAAAAAGCGCATTTATTCCAATTATCTTATAAGAATGCCAACTTGGCTTTCGTTTATTGATTTATGGTAGTTGCCTCTGCAAAATTTGATAATTTCGTGCATCTTTTTTAATATTCTACTGACTCCAAATCTATATGTGAAATTATACTGAATTTATTATTATTATTATTATTATTACTATTGTTGTTATTTATTCCGACTCCAAATCACTGACTGGTAAGTGTGAAAATGGAATGTAAAATTTACAAGCAAAAAGAAGCCAAAACTATATGTGCAGTAGTTCATAATGTCGACCATTTTTATTCTACCTGCTCCGAAATAGTGACAGATCTACCATACTAATGATAGATAACAACATGCTCGTCAGTTTCAGTTCAATTTATACATACATGTTGAAATTACTTATGTTAAAGTTCGAATCTATTATCACGTAGTAATGAAATTATAATATTCTAAAATTATTAACTCGAAAATAATTGGTGAAATTCAAAAATAGCCAAATTTACGAGTGGTAATTGAAAAATAGCTACAGTTTCAAAAATAATCGAAATTTAGTCATTTTTCATGTAAAGATAAATTTGAACTAAAACATTGTTCAAAATCCGAAAAATATTCCAGTATAATATGCTGGAGCTCGAATTTTTTATATGTGAACTTCTAACATAACATGCTGAAATTTTATAATGTTGTGGAGTTCCAATATAATATGTTGGAAGTTCTTACGCGAATGCTTCAATCTCCAGTATATTATGCTGCAACTTTCTGTGTTGCAGCAAAATAGTAACTATTTTCAATGACTTTACAAACGCTATCTATTTTTCAATTACCGATCCGAAAACTAACTAGCTTATTTTAACTAAAATAATAATAGCGCCCGCTTTAACTAGTGGAAGACATAAAGTTCGTACCGTAAGGTCTATACTCTATAGATGAAATTTCTTTAGGAAAAATAAAGCTCAACTGCTCTGTGAAGAAACAGCAGAGTATAATTGTTATATTATATTATATCGTGTTAGGTACATTGCAAATGTACAAAAATTCACTCTAATAACGGCGGGAGAATAAAGTGTACGAAGATCCAGGTCGGCTCCAACATTATGGAAGGTAAGGCTTGTGTTTTAGGACTCAAATTTGGGAGCCCCATTTTTTAAAATAATAGGTTTATAGATATTTAAAGAAAATATTTAGTACTTTTAATATAAAAGTAGAGCTTTTAATATAAAAAGAAAGAAAACTCTTTAGATATATAAATAAAGTAATAATTTGACTTACTTAAAAATGAGTAGATGAATAGTTTTTCAAACGTTTCAATATTTTCACTTTTTACTCCTTGGCTAGATACCGAGTAAAAAAATTACTCTCTTCCTTAATTTGTCCAAGTCAATTTTTCTTATTTCCAATATCTTCATATTTGAGAAACCCCTACATATTTTTTGCCTTTCTTTTTGATATTCTTATTTACCTTCTTTCTCCACGATTTCTTAGTTCCAAGTGTTCAACAATACTTTTAAGCTTCTAATAGTTCTATACTTCTATTGCTCTATAAAATTTTATCTAAGATCAACAATTTCTCAAAAAAGATTAAATGATGAATTGACTATATTATTAATTGAGAAGAATTATTAGAAAAAATCAATTATAAAAAAAGATTATTAACAATTTTGTATCTCAAAAGTTAGAAGAATAGACTTCAAATAAAAAAATATCTTATAATTGTCTTTTAAAAATTTAGGCCTCATATTAAACTTTGGGTTTAGGCCCCTCATATTCTTATGTCGCTCTTGCGCGGACCTTATCTCTACCTTATGGATATAGAGAAATTCACTCTAATAATCTAATCTCTACACATTCATTTATTGTTAGAATTTAAGGGTCCACCAAATTATATAGAGAACCAGGTTCTCTATTAGTTCCCACAAAACACACGCACACTGCAGTAGGTAAATGACACAAAGAAGTTTTACGTGAAAAACTCCCAGCTCGCAGGATTAAAAACCACGACCTACCCTTGTAGGATTTCAACTTCACTAATGAGCAAACTTTAGACTACAACCTATTGTAACCTAGGAATTAATCTCTTAATCCCTCACTAACTTGTAACAACTCTATTACAAGCCACTTTGTAATAACGCTATTACAAAGACTTACAACTCAACTAACTCTAGCCAAGACACAAGGCTTATGATTTTACAAAGATTTCCTACACAATGCTTCTAACTAAGCTAAGTAGGAATTACAAGTAAAGCGCTTTAACAAAGGTGCAACACAACTAGGGACATGTAATGACTCAATACATGAAACTGGTCCTTCGTTATGTTGTTCCTTGTTCTTGATGCCCTTGAGAATCACTTGCAAGATTGGCACAGACTTGAGAGAAAATGCTTGATCGATTATTGAATGTGCAAGTGTTTTGTTTTACCTTTGCTTGATGTAAATAACTTATTTGTGACATCACTTGAATGATGTAAGCAAGTTAGGTAAAGGGCATTCTCCATAAAGTTGACTGTTGCATTATTTTTGCACTGTTGCGTGTGCAGGCAACAACTTTACAACTGTGGGGAGTTGACTTGCACAGTCACAACTGGAAATGGTGGACATCTGTTCTCTATGTTGTTCCTTTGACTCTGAAGAGTTGAACCACGTCCCCGAGCTGAGACTTGTTATTCTTTAAGTGCTTGAGGATGTGTAATAGGTTCCTTATCTGGTTCTTATCATTAAGTTTGTTAGATCATCAAAACATAACAGGGATACATATAACCTATCAATTTCCCCCCTTTTAATGATGACAAACTTATAATTGAAGTTTCCCCTGAAAGCCAAAATGGTAGATCAATTTCCTGTATTCCCCATGAATTTGTTCCCCAACTTGTTCCCCCTCAAATATTTTCCCTCATTTTGGCATTATAAAAAGATCAGTAGCAAGCAAGAAGTAAAAAGTAGTCTAGCTTGGTTAACTCATGCCACATGTGTGCACACAATCATGACTAAAAACAGAGCAAAAGAGCAAGACATACACAACAAAAGGATAAAACTTACATTAATTTTTGGAAATTAAGCAGGGAGCAGTTCCATTGTTACCAAAATATCCACAAAATAAAAACAACAAAAGGTACCAGTTATAAACATCATTAAGACTAAAAACAGAGGACTAGGACTGCTTATCGGGCGGATTGAGCGGTTATTTACTCTTAACGATTTGGCTTATCGGTTATCGGCTTTTAAATGTATAATCCGCTAGCCACCCGATAAGATATTGGGTGGATTGGTATCGGTTTAGCTCTTATCGGGCGGTTTGTCGGATTGTTTGCTGACTGCTGTGACTCAAAATAAAATTTCTATGCTCAGCAGACTACATTCCANTAATAATCCGCCCCAAACCGATAAGCCGTTAATAAAAAAAAATTCAATCTGTTCCCCGTCCGTTAAACCGTTAAACCGATACCAATAAGCCATTAAGCTTCGGTTCGGTTTTCGGTTTCGGTTCGGTTTTGAACGCCCCTACATAGGACGAACACTAGGAGTTGGGAACAGGATGGCTATTAAGGAGCACTGGAAGGGGGAGCACTATGTCACGATCCAAAATCTCACCTGTCGTGATGGCGCCTATCTCGATACTAGGCAAGCCGACAACCTCAATAAAATCACATTTCCTTAAAGTTTTAAAAATATTATAATTTGAATTTAATAAAAGGCCTCACAATTTTAGATACAAACCTCCCAAAACCTAGTGTCACTTAGTACATGAGCATCTAATATGAATACAAGTTTGAAAAATATGGTCCATAACAGTCTGAGACCAAATACAGTAAATAAGGAGGTAGGGAAGGAGAGGCAAGGTCTACGATACACGGCAGCTACCTCAGAATCTCCGAAAAATTAATTGTGCAAAAGAATCAATACCCGCTATGTACGGGAACACCTGGATATACACACGAAGTGCAGGGTGTAGTATGAGTACAATCAACTCAGCAAGTAACAATAATAAATAAGGAACTAAAGATAGTGACGAGATACACAGTTACAGTTCATTTTCAGTAATTCTAGTAGAGAGTAGACATGCTATCAATTCCAATAGTTTAAGTCAAATCAGTTTTATATAGTTCAAGTTCATGTAATCCGGATATAAAATCTTTCAGAGAATTTCACAACAATGACAGATAGCAACTAAGTGCAACAACAAATGAAAAGCAAGTAGAGCCTCTCAGGGCAACATTTACTCAACTCGTCATAATAGCTCAACCACTCGGCTCTCAGGCCTCAGCACTCACACTCAATGGGTACCCGCGCTCACTGGGGGTGTACAGACTACAGAGGGGAGCCTACAGCCCAAGTGCTATAATCTGCACGGATAACTCATGTGCCATAGTGTAAATATCTGGATCCGCACGAACAACTCACGTGTTATAGTATAATATAAGGATCCGCACGGACAACTCACGTGCTGCACGGATAACTCACGTGCTATAGTATAATATAAGGATCTGCACGGACAACTCATGTGCTATAGTATAATATCTCATAATCAGGCCCTCGACCTCACTCAGTCATAAATCTCTCCAGTCTCTCGGGCTCTCAATAGTCATGATACTCAGCCCAAATAATAATAATAATATGATGCATCAATAATGAACAATAGAAACAGAGATAAAATAAATAAGTAAATTGTGACTAAGTACAAAATAATAATTTAGCAGATAATTCAACACGTACAAGACCTATGTGGTCTTTACAACACCATCACATAGCCTAAGCATGCTTCACTGTCAAATATTTATAGCACAGAAATGGCACATGGCTAAGGACAAGCTTATTCAACTTTCTAGTTTCACGGAATGGAGCAAGTCCCAATTCCCACGGTGCACACCCACACGCCCGTCACCTCCAAAATACTCACATAATACAATAATCTTGGTTTTCATACCCTCATGACCAGATTTAAAACT